GTCCATGTCAGGACATCGGGTCATTATGCAGTGGAAAGAGGATTTGGCAGGTGAAAGGTTTGGTGGGTTGGGGTGTTTGATACGAAGGGGGATGAGGTAAGGAGCTTGAGGGTGAGATCCTGGTCTGGGGAGACTTTGGGAAATAGTTCTTAGCTAAGTAATAGCAAGTAAAGTTGAATATATATCATATATTTGAGAAACAGCGAGAGAAATGGAGAGAGAAACAGAGACAGGATGTGAATAAAATACATTCACACATATATTTATACATACTGCCTAAATGCAAGGAGACCTTATTAGATCAAAAGTGAAGGATTACCTTTAAAAATAAAAACCCAAACCATAATAACACAAGGCAAATTGCCCAAAGTGTGAGCTTTTCTAAGTGGGAGAACCAGGAAGAGCTTTCACTGGCATCTAGTGGTACATTGCAGAGGCAGCTGATGGCACAATTTCACTTCTACAGTGGACTTCCCTGGGATAGCAGAATCTGTCAGACTGGGAAATCACCAATTCCAGACTGGGCTTAGGCACTTTTGGACATAGTCTAACTCTGCCCTGAGAGCTTTGTCTATGAAGCCTTTTTGCAGATAAACATAAGGCACTCAGTCTATTTTTGACCACATGAGCAAAACCTTGGGATCATACCAAGGAACGCTTGATCTCTCTTACCTTGGATTTTGAGGCTTTGCATGAGCCCGAGGGGACATCAGGCAGATCTGGTCTATTTGAAGGAGAGGATGAGCTGGGGAAATGCAGATATCAATGGAGAGAAACAGGAGATCTGAGGGCAGAAATCGTCTGCTGTCCTAGAGGTGTCCACTTTGGAATAAGGCAAATTGTGTCTCAGTGGGTGAATGGACACTGACACAGCTGGAATTACATGATCCTGGCCCCTTCCTCCTGAACTTTCTGGCAGCAAAGGATTGACACAAACAGTCCCCTCACTTGCTCCAGCTGAGCCCCTCATCCATGTCCTGCCCCAGCCTGTCTCCCTCCATGGTGCCACACACTCATACGAGGCTGGTTGACAGAGTGGCTGACTGGCCCCAGACAGAATTTGTGGGAAGGTATTATGGAAATAGGAAGGATGGAAAGAGGGGCATGGTGCCTAAGGAGTCTTGAATATGACCTGAGGTCTACAGTGGCCCTACACCATGGTCTATCCTGTCTATCCAGGACCTGCTGTGGCACTCTTATGCCTCAAAGCACAAGACCTGCAGCAAGGCAAACTGAATGAGACTTGGGTATCTTCTGCTGTGCCTGTCCTGGTATAAAGACTGTTAGATTTGTATGACTTCTTCCTTTGCTGGACTGGGATACAAGCTGGAATGTAGGTGCACCTTCAGACTGGTGTTGCTACCTTATAGTGCTTGTTTGTTCTGGGGTAGGAGATACATCAGCATATTTTATCCAAGGCACATATAGCATGTAAATTTGAACTCCAGGGACTCTGTAACTTTGAACTTCTATGCTTGATCCAAGCCAGGCATCTTGTCATCTCTTGCCTCGGTTATCCTGAATCAAAGAGGAGAACAGCATGTTTGTAGCCTTGTGTCATGTTCAGAACAGGATTGGAGGTGCTGTATCTGTTATTGTCCAGCCTCAGAGACATGGGACAGACCCTAATCATTGCACCAGGGCAGAGTAATGATGCAGCAGCTTTTCATCATTCCCATGCTCCTAAAATCCTCCCAGGGAATCATGGAACCATAGCATGTTAGGGGTTGTAATGAACCTTACAGATCACCTAGTCCCAACCCCCCTGCCAAGCATCCTGGGCTATAGCTCCCTGTTGAGCCTTTAAGATTCATTGTGCAGGGCAGATCCGGGAAAATCTGAGTGCTTTCCATGAGGTCCTGCTGAGCGTCTCCCAGGTGGTGCTCATCCCTCTGCTAAATCAGCTCCACATGCCTCAGTGTCCACTTTGGTCAAATCCACAGGCTCGTTTAGTGTTGCCACTGAGCATTAAATGGATCCTTTGATGATAATTAGGCACCAGCCCTGGTTTCTGCTTTACCCCAGGGGACTGCAAGCTCCTATGGACACAGAAACTCTGGAGTGCATCTTTCCTCTGCGGATGCTTCCTGGAGCAAGTCCCAGACAATCAGCCTGGGAAGGAAGAAGGATGCTTGCAATGCTGCGGGATGTTTTCCTTCCCACAAAAGCAAGATAAAACAAAGGGAACACTCTCAGCTGGGGCAGGGGGGACAAGTCCTGATGCTGCCCCAGTGGCTGCCGAGACAGGGAGGGCAGGATGGG